GACAGACAGACACATACAAACAGACATTCAGCTTTATATACTCACATGAACAGGAAGGCTGCAGAGTAATTAAGGTCAGAGCATAAACTATATTAGTAGGGATTTTCCGCAATAACAATGTAATGCACGTGTACAATTACTTACTAGCTAAATTACTTGAGAAAAAATTTATCTTACATGCAAGCATTATTACCACACTTCTGTGAGATTCTATGAGCGCCTAGATGAGGCTGGACTCTAACAAAAAACTCACAATCAAGGTTTTCCATTCTTAGTATGACTATAAGTTTGTAAAGATTGCAACATCCGACAAAAAGTGCGATTCAACTGCAGTGTTGGGTGCATCAGAATCTCCATTCTCGGACAGGACTCTGCACCTCTTCCGCGAACGTGCTCCGTAATCATTTCCGATCAGTTGGGGCTCTTACCACTCTAGCCATGAGAAAGTGATAAGAGAGCCTGTTTGCGGGAAAAAGGTACAAGAGTCCAGGCGCAGCGGTCGCGAGTGAGCGGAAATGCAAGTGCCCCCGAAACTGCAGTTAATAAGCCCTATACATACATGTGCGAAGCTCGCCAACCTCGACTCATTCTTTCAAAAATGATTTTTAAGAACAGTGCAGACTTGCCCACTCCGATCAAATTGCACATTGCTCTTGTTTTGTGGTGAAGTGTTAGTGACTTTTGACTCACAAGCACAAACTGCACGTACCTGGCTTGTCCGTCTGTGGTTCCTGCTTAAAGATGGAAGGACTGACAAGTTTGATCTAAATAACTGACGATTTGCCGTACTAAATGGAATTTTGGAGAAAAATTACTTTTATTCTCTCATCGGTACTCCTTGGTACAGGTTCTTCAATAGTCAGTAGTACCGGGTCATTTTGGGAGTTCTTTACCACTATCATTTGATCGTGCATCATCGACGAACCTTTGGTAATGTATCCAACCTAAAATCATTTTGATTCCTCGTTCGACGATGCAGACTTAGGCGTACCTGCTCATAAAATTTCTTCACGGGCTTATAATCTACATGCAACGATGTATCAACTCCCAATGAGATCGAAAACCTGTCCCCTGGAGATACGTTTCCTATCGAGGTCTAAAAGATATACATCCGGAAAATAGGGCATCACAAACAATTTCATACCTTACAGACAAAACTATTGTTATGATAGATATGTGCATCACCTCTCAAAAAAGGCAATTTCGATGAGTTAATAGAATGCGCAATAAGAAATACGTCCGTGCTTTTTGAGGGAACGCATTTACGAGTAATGACCCGCTCAACGTTTACGACGTCAATGGTAACCTATAATAGAGATCTACGCCAGTATACAAATTGAGAACTCTACCTTGTGTGAAGCACCATCGGATGGCACAAATATTGGTTTGGCGACAGCAAACTCAGTGTTCAAAGGATGTGGTTCAGAGGCTACAGCAGTTGACACCTAAATATTTCCTCGCTGTGTAGATTTTGTTTGGAACCTTTGACAAAATATTTTCCGGAAATTTACGAGGAAGATCAAGAAAGGCTATCGCAAACACGATTTTCAAATTCACTGGCATGAGTTACAGCAGCGAATCACTCTCTGTCTCCCTCAAATACTAAAAGTTCTATCATCTTACATTTTCAAAGTTTTGAGCAAAATGGAGTTGGTATGTAGGCATTGGGGGATTGAAGCTTTCAAGAAGTTGAAACTAAGTCGAAAACCATTGGCAAATTTTTTAAAGGAACTTTAAGTTGAATATGTCATTTTTGACATTTACTTTAAGAAGGCTCTGACGAACTAGTCCAGAAATCAAGAAGTTTTTGATTTTATAGTATTTTAACTTAATTGCAACTCGCGACGACCAAATAGCGACTTTGGTGCAAATTCGGCAGATGACGTTGGTACGAATCCAAAGTCTTGAACACAAGGTCTTGTGGAATCAACTCCGTTACCAAAAAGCCCTCTACTCATACAAAGAGCTGGCTGGGGTGGTGCAGG